TGCTCCATCATTGGCTGCCTGCTATTTAAAAAGTTCACCCTCTCACAAGGAAGTCCTCCCTTCGTATCACTAATGTACGCTAATTTAAAAGGTTCACTCCCTCTTAGTTTATTATACTTCCCTACTTCAAACTTCCCAGTTCTCTATCTTCAACTCATCAATAGTGACTATACCTCAATATCACTGCCACGTTTTACCTCCTTCTAAAGCATCTGCCTCGTATCTCTTCGGGATGATACCCTATTTCAATTTCAGCCTAAGACACTATCATCATCTCCGAACCAGCTCTTCCTGTTACCTTCTTAACTGTCCCAAAGCCACAGGCTCAAAGCTTCTACAGGATCCCAGAATTCTACCTATGCTTTGCTTTCAAGGCCAAACCCTCACGGAGGCCAGCACCTCACATGTGGAAGTTTCCCCAAATGGCTCCTACCTATCAGCAGAGTTAAACTTTTCTTAAAATCCATGATCAGTGGGTTATTCTTCTACTTGAAACTGTTTAATAATTTCCTTCCTACATTCCCCTAAACACCCCCATCTGAAGCACAAACTGGCTCCACTGCACCACTCAGACTTTGTCTTCTACTGTTCACTTCCATACACCAGATATTTCAGGAAACCTCAGCAGCCTTTTATGTCTAAGGCAGCTCAGTCCATCTCCTTCCCCAGATGTTTATCATATTCTCCTGCCACCATCTTTTGGGGTCCAGCAAATAGATCACTTCTTGACTGTGCCGTTCCTGATCACGGTGCAAGAAAACCCACCCCTCTGTCCTACCTGAAGACCTGGCCCATAACACAGCATAAAAATCTTTCCTCGCCGGGCGCCAGTAGCTCACACCTGTAATCCTAGCTACTCAGGAGGCTGAGATCTGAGGATCACGGTTCAAAGCCAGCCGGGGCAGGGGCAGGAACATCTAATAAACCACTAGAAAACCAGAAGTGGCACTGTGGCTCAAGCGGTAGAGTGCTTGCCTTGAGCTGAAGAGCTGAGGGACAGCGCCCAAGCCCAGAGTTCAAGCCCCATGATTGACCAAAAAAAAAAAATCTTTCCTCAAAATACTAGAGTGTATCACCAAAGAAGGCAGTGTAGCTATTGGCTCACACGTGAAACCTGGGAGTCTGGGACAACAGAACATTCTGCAGTAGAACAAGGCCCTGGTGATCAACTAGGACACAAGCTTTGTTGGCTGTCCTAAACATATTTCTTTTTCTTTTCTTTCTGGTGGCACTGGGGTTTGAACTCAGGGAGTAATACTTGCTGGGGAGGTGCCCAACCACTAGAGCCATGCCTCCAGCTCCTAAGTATGTCTCCTTAAAAGAAAAAAAAAAATTGAGCCAGGCACCAGTGGCTCACACCTGTAATCCTAGCTACTAAGGAGGCTGAGATCTGAGGATTGTGGCTCAAGTGCTAGCCTTGAGCTGAAGAGCTGAGGGACAGCACCCAGGCCCAGAATTCAAGCCCCTCAACCAACAACAACAACAACAAAAAATTGAACATTTAAAAATCTGAAGATTTCACATAAAATCTATACTTGGATTGTGTGTGTGTGTGTGTGTGTGTGTGAGATGTGCGGGTGCGCACACACACACACACGTGCGTGGCTCCTGGGGCTTGAACTAAGGGCCTGGGTACTGTCTGTCCCTGAGCTATTTTGCTCAAGGGTAGCTAGTGCTCTACCACTTGAGTCATAGCAGCTTTATTTTTTGGTAATTTACTGGAGATGAGTCTCATAGACAATCCTGCCTGGGCTCAGCTTTGAACCACAATACTTAGACCTCAGTTTCTGGAGCAGTTAAGATTACAGGCATGAGCCATCCATACTGGGATCATAGTTGGACGCTTTTTGTTTTTGTTTTTGATCAGTTGTGGTCCTTGAACTCAGCCTGTGCGCTGTCCCTGAGTTCTTCAGCTCAAGGCTAGCACTCTACCACTTGATCCACAGTGCCACTTCCTGTTTTCTGGTGGTTAATTGGAGATAAGAGTGTCTCAGACTTTCCTGCCTGGGCTGGCTTTGAACCACAATCCTCAGATCTCAGTCTCCTGAGTACTAGCTATGATTGATTACAGGCGGGAGCCACTGGTGCCCAGCTATTTTTTTTTTCTTTTAAAAAGACATACTGCTATTTCTTCACAGAGGCTTTCCTAGTCTACCCTTAACACGGAGTGCTCTGAAGCCATTCTCAAGAGAGGTAACCAGTGGTTCGCACCTGTAATCCTAGTTACTTAGGAGGCTGAGACCTAGAGGAGGAGTGCAAGACTAACCTGCGCAAAAAAGTCCTTGAGACTCTATCTCCTATTAACCAGTAAAATGCCAGACTGGAGTTGAGGGTAAAGTGGTAGACCACCAGCCACCATCAAAAGAGCTTCAGCTTTGAGCAAGAAAGCAGAGTCAGCTAGGTGCCAATAGCTCAAGTCTGTAATCCAAGCTACTAGGGAGGCCGAGATCTGAGAATATGGTTCAAAGCCAGCCCATATAAGAAAGTTTATGGCTCTTATCTCCAATAAATTATTCAGATAAAGCCAGAAGTGGCGCTGTGGTCCAAGTGGTAGAGCACTAGCCTTGAGCAAAAGAAGCTCAGGGATAGTGCCCAGGCCCTGAGTTCAAGCTCTAAAAAACTACTCTCCTTCCTCTCTGGCAAGCCCAGGCCTAATGTAATCTAACACCGAAGTCTATGTTTAATAGAATTTAGTGCCCTGTCAAGCCCACACTCACTACATTTATTCAGGCATTTCACAAATACTTAGTGGGCACACTTACTATGCTAGGTACTATTCTAGCAAAGAATTCAGTCCCTCCTCTCCTCACCGAGCTAGCTAACATTTTGGAAAAGGAACAGATGGGTATCAAGTGAGATTTGCAGACCACTGGCCTTCAGCCTGTCCAACACTCGTTGTCCTCTAAGGGTTAGGTCAAGGGCTCTTTGGTGTGGTGTCTGTGGTAAACCAGCCTCTACCAAGCTCCACCAATAATTTTTTTACTTATTGTCATGAGCCATTCTCAGCACTAAGGACTGGTACTCCTCTTAAGCTCCATGTGGCCATGAAATTCTGCCTATCTTATCATTCATTCAGACACTAAAGCCAAGACTGACCAACAGATAACAGACAACAGCATGCACTTCCTAAACCTGGTTTGGGGACCAGTAAGCCCACAGAACTTCCAGGGTCTATATTTTATCCAACATTCTATGGGGATAAAGTGACTCTGAACCAGTAAGTAGTCCTGGGTAGGAAGAGCCCTGGGCTCACGGGATCTGTGAGCAAAAGGTGATCTCTACAGATGGGGTTATGCGGATGGAGACTATCAGTGTGTATGAGTGCTTAACACAATGTCAGGCACATGAGTGCCTGAGGTGTGTTAGCTGTCCTTATTAAATGCTAAGAACCCTCTCCCCTATTAATAACCCATCTCTGTGTTTAAGAGCAGTCAGTGGAAATGTCTTTGGTTATAAGTGGGCCCTCAGTTAAAGATCTTGCTGCTCTGCCTAACAGGCCAAAATGGAAAGGAAGTATTGGCAACACTGCTACAGAAGCAAAATGGGAAAATGACAAACATCCTTTCCACATAGCTGCTGCCACTTGGCTTTTCCTCTGAAAGAAAATCTCCTACAGGGTTCTTCATTTGCAAAATGAAGACAGCCATCATACCTGTCAGGGAGCTGTTGAGAAAACCTTGATATGAAAGTACTTTGTGCAGGGCACTGGTGGCTAATCCCTATAAACCTAAACTTCTCAGGTTGCTAAGATCTGAGTATCATGGTTCAAAGCCAGCCTGGGCAGAAAAATCCCCAAGATTCTTATCTCCAATTAAACATACACACATGCACAAAGAGCTAGCCAGAAGTGGAGCTGTGGCTCAAGTGGTAGAGCACCAGACTTAAGCAGAAAAAGCTAAGGGACAGCAACTACAGCCCAAGTTCAAGTCCCATTTTAGACACAAAAAAGTAAAGAGAAAAGCACAATTCCCATGAATCAGTGTTTAACAACAGTTCTAGATTCTTTACGATGAGTGACCTAAGATAACGTAACCTGTCCTGTAAAAGAGTGATTAAGAATATATGACAGTGGGAAGAGTAAGCGAAGTAACAGTAGCTGGGACCTTTCTGGAACATCGGGAAAACTCGGCTGCTGATGAATATTAAGATTACTAGCCTGGACTCCAAATCCCCAAAGGTGAAGTGGAAAGAAACCACTCCTGGCTCAGGAACTGGGAGAACTGGGCGTTAATCAGCGTGGTTACCTTGGGAAGTCTGGGACCTTCTCCAAGCCTAGGTTCCCGAGATTTAAAAAAAAAAAGGAAAAGAGAATTCAAGAGAGGATCCCTGGGCTCCTACCAGCTCTCTTCCACTCCGCTGATAAGGCCGCCGGAACAAAGGCCCCCCCGGCGCCCCAACCCGTACCCAGGGAGCCACAGCTCAAAATCCCTGCGGCTCAGGAGCGCCCGGGTCTCCGTCCCGGGAGAGACGCCGCCACACTCGCCGCCACCGCCCGCTCCATCAGCAACCTGCTGCCACCCAAAGTTGCTGTTTTTGTTTTTGTTTTCCGAGC